GTTCTCCCTGAAATGTGCTTACAGTGTTACATATATGCTGAAAAAAAAACAAAAAAACAAAAAAACAAACAAACAAACAAAAAAACAGCATAACATTTGAAAGAAAAATGCCTGGTCTTGCTGATTTTCAATCTTGACCATTCTTTTACTAATAATCATCAGTTCTGTGAGTTTCATGAAAACAGGCTTATTGGTTCTCCTTGAAATATGTTAACAGTGTTGCATGTACACTGAAAAAAGGAGAAAAAAATGCAAAACTTTTGAAAATAATCACCCCATTTCCTCCATTTTGAGACACTGTAGTCTCAAGTGGTCAAAACGTTGGGATTGATTTTGATAAAAATAAAAATAAAGTAATTTTTTTAACACAAGTAAGGCTAATTATAAAAATAAACTTAATATTTAGCCCCAAACTGTCCCGCCTCGGCATTTTGGGACTTGCTTGGGTCGGACCCCCTGAACCTTCGCCTATCTTTCTGACTTTTTCCAAAATATATGTTTGAAATGTATGCTATTGGCCCGATTAAAATCACTTACATTTTGATGACATTTACCCAAAATCAATTAATACTAGTGATACCAGATCGATATAAGTGTGGATCTATCTATCTCAGAGGGGTTTCTTGAATTTGCTTTCAGCTCAAGCAGCTTAATTAGATGTCTGGCACGCCCACTGAAGCTGCTAATCGATAATTAATTACCCTCTAGAAGCTTCATTAGGCATGACAGACATCTAATCCGCTTACGTTGATTTCAATTTATATAGCATTCCTTCTGGGAGAGATCGATCCATAGTTAGTACGATAGGATCTGGGAACGGTCCNTCAATCCAATGCAGTTAGAGCTGGGCGTGCAAAATTGCTGGCGGGGGTACACATTGATTTTGCATCCTTGTAGTCTCAAGTGGTCAAAACGTTGGGATTGATTTTGATAAAAATAAAAATAAAGTAATTTTTTTAACACAAGTAAGGCTAATTATAAAAATAAACTTAATATTTAGCCCCAAACTGTCCCGCCTCGGCATTTTGGGACTTGCTTGGGTCGGACCCCCTGAACCTTCGCCTATCTTTCTGACTTTTTCCAAAATATATGTTTGAAATGTATGCTATTGGCCCGATTAAAATCACTTACATTTTGATGACATTTACCCAAAATCAATTAATACTAGTGATACCAGATCGATATAACTGTGGATCGATCTATCTCAGAGGGGTTTCTTGAATTTGCTTTCAGCTCAAGCAGCTTAATTAGATGTCTGGCACGCCCACTGAAGCTGTTAATCGATAATTAATTACCCTCTAGAAGCTTCATTAGGCATGACAGACATCTAATCCGCTAACGTTGATTGCAATTTATATAGCATTCCTTCTGGGAGAGATCGATCCATAGTTAGTACGATAGGATCTGGGAACGGTCCCTTAATCGTTTTTGCCGTGTGCATATCCGAACTGTAGGCCTATATATCAGGACGCGTAATTGTCGGGGACTGGCTCAGAATAGCGTCAAATTTCACCACCTAACTTGAAATGGGCCCCTTTATGCATTCCACTGCTTATGTCAACCGAGGACGTCCTCGGTTGGAAATGTGTCCTCGGTTAGTGGGTTTCGGGCGGGTGTGTGTCCTCGGTTAGAATGCGTGCACAAGAGCACACACACACAGAGAGAGAGAGAGAGACAGGCAGACAGACCGACAAATTCTGAGACCATTTCATTTTGAGAGAGACTAGCAAACAAACAGGAAGGTTACTGCTTCAGTTTCAGTTTGTTCTTTTTAAGACGCATACTTAGAACCCTGACTGGTACAAATGAACGAACCTGACGTAGGAAGAGTAGTAGAGTTTGATGCAGGTGCCCCAGAAATCTGTTTGAGAAGCCCTTCTCGCTCTCTTCTTCTTTGCATGAGCTTTTCCCTCAAACTGCTCTGCTTACTCTTCACGGCCTGGATGTCACTCCACGTATCTGACATGTTGGAGCGTTTGTAATTCACAGTAAGGTCAATATCATTACTTAAAACTATGATAAACAATAACAGTCAAGAGGTTTCCGCTACACATGGGCGTCGCCATCTTTATTTTGCATGATGGTAAAAATCAAAATCACATCTAACGCAATGTGCCACTGCGGTATCTGCGGTATCTCTTCATATTTCCAGACATTTCNGGACACAAAGTGTACAGGGTGGTCCATTAAAACGACTATTTTTACTTTCAATCTCAATTCAATATAAGTCGTTGTACAAAGAACAGCCTGTATATCGTTTCATCTATTTAACCTATTATTATTCAAGTTGCATATCTCTCACAGATCTCCTTTCGTTTCAGATGACACATACAAGTATGTTAAAGTGACGTGTTAAAATGTTCAATAGTCAATATACATATATATTTCTAATGAAATCCGCATGACGGTATTTGCCCAGCATATTTTAACAACATTTATAACCTTATAGTACACGTGAAAACTCAAGCAATCTTTATAGGCAACTGTATTCATAATCACACAAATTGGAAATACATGAGATAGATTGTGGTAGAGAAGATTTCACATTGCACCGTCCTATTTGGTTCAAACGTATATTCTGTCTCAATAAACATTGTCATTATACAATGTAACATATCCAGGGTACCTTCTATATATATATCCACTGATCACGCAATAAGCTTAAAATCAACAAAAATATTCTGACTTAATTTAATATTTTAATCTGCCATTTGTTTTCTGGACATCAACCGAGGACATGAAAGCGGCGAAATGCTTGTTAAGTGTTGGTGCCGAACCGGTGGACACTCGGGACCAGTTGGGCAGAGAGCGGTATATGATTTTTCCTCCTTATGTCCACCTGAAGGGCCACTACGCTGACTGGTATAAGAAGGGGGGCGCTCATGGGGCAGTGGAGGTGTGTAGGATGAAGTCCACAACAGCCGATCTTAAAATTTATAATTATATATTTTATTTAGATTGGGCCCTGAAGATAAGATGGCAGACTAAGGGGGTGGTGCTTACAGCTACTGCCTCCTCCATCCCCACCCCTTCGGAGCTAACCACAGATGTATTATTGCAGATTCAAATTATTCAACCACTACTAGACATGCCAATGAAAACATATTACTAGTACCTTCTGCACTAGGAGCACTTTACAGAGTGCTTACCCCTTGAAAAGTCAGATTTTTCTCTTCCACAAGAAATAATGAGTTAGAAGATTATACAGGCCAAAAGTCTAATTTTTGCTTAAATTGTAAAACTTTGAAGTTGAAACACCAAAATTGACACGTTTTCTAACTTTGTTGCCAAACCATGAAGTCATCAATATGAAAATAAATGAAAATATTACATAGACCATTGTTTAAACTCTTTTATGGTATTCCGATATTTTAACAGATAATTAGTATGTATATGAGATATTCAGTCAAACAAAACTATTGATATACTAATGCGATGTTTAACAATCATATTTGTTATCTGATCTGCTGCTGGAGCCCATTTCAACCCTTTCATATTCCAAGAAGCATCTACAGACGAAGTAACAAAAATAATTAACAAAACTAAGAAGAGGTCATGCATACTTGATCCAATGTTGACAGCGTTCATGGTTCATCAACCTGATAACGCAAATCATGGACACTAGTTTTGCTTAAGGTTCTTTCCCTGATCAACTCAAGAAAGCTGTGGTTTAACCCCTACTAAAAAAAAAGCCATCTCTAGACACTGATACATTTGGAAATTACAGACATGTGTTTAACCTCTCGTTTCTATCAAAAACCGTTGAAAGGGTCATTGTTGGAAGATTGCTATCACATTTAGGCCAGACACAGTACTGAATCAGCATTGCTAAGAATAAAAAGTGATCTCCTGTGTGGACTCGATGAACACTCAATGATTCTTTTAGTCTTATTAGACCTATCTGCAGTATTTGATACAGTCGATCATGAACTACTTTTATCTTTTCTCGAAGATTATGTTGTTATCAGGGACTCTGCACTTAGCCTTTTACGCTCCTATCTTACAGGTCGTTCACAACAGGTTTTAATTAATGGAATATTGTCAAATGTGTCAGAGTTAGCTTTTGGTGCACCTCAATGTAGTGTTCTTGGACCTCTAACTTTTTGTATGTATACATTGTATACATGACCCATTGTGGCCATATTGAGACATCACAGTATTCGCTGTCATATTTTTTCTGATGATACGCAAATTTTTTACATGCTGTAATGTAGAAAATCCTAATGAATCAATTGAAAAGCTGTCTAGGTGTATTGATGATCTACGAAGGTGGTTGATAAGAAATAAGTTGAAAATCAATGATGTAAAATCTGAACTTTTAGTTGTAACCCAGCCACATAATCAAAAAATATCAGAAAAAAATTCAAAATTGGATCCAGTATCATAAAGCCAACGCCCCATGCTAAGAATTTTGGTGTTTTTTTAGATAGAACACTTTCTATGAATAAGCAAATTGCTAGCATATGCAAGACAGCAGTATTTAACATGAGGAACAGTACGCAATTCGTAATCACCTATCTGACTCTGCTGCAGCTACAGTTACAAATTGTTTAGTAATATCTAGATTGGATTACTGTAATTCTATTTTATGGTTGTCAAAAAAAAAACAGATTAAAAGACTGCAGCGTATTCAGAACATCTCAGCTAGCTTATCAATCCGTACATCCATGAGTTACCATATCACCCTAGTTTTTAAAGAGTTACATTGGCTATACCTCTGCAAGCCAGGATTTTATTTAAATTCCTAGCCTTTGTTCATGACGCTTTTTACAAAGTTGCACCGATCTACCTAAGTGAATTAGTCACTCACTATGTTCTAGAAAGAACCCTGCGGGCTGTAGACAAATTGTTACTTATATAAGCTGGTAAAAATGCGCCTTAAAACTTATGGCAACATTTCTTTTAAATCAACAGGTCCAAAGGAATGGAATTTATTACCACTGAAAATCCGATCAATTCAGTCTACCAAGCATTTTAAAATAAGAATTGAAGACATAACTATTCAGTAATTTTTTTGACTAATCAACTTTTAAATTGATTTTACAAATTTTATAGTAATTGCATTTTTGCACTGTAAGAAATAAAGCTGTTCTACTTCTATGTTTCTTTCTATGTGCAAATAGGGCTTTTTTTTCTTTTTTTTTTACTTAGAATTGATTATTTTTTCTTAACAAACATGTTTTATTTATGTACTGTAAGTACTTTTATGTGATGAAACGTATGTTTTATCTAGAATACTCTTAATTTTTTTGTTGTTAAGCTTTGTAATTTATTTATTTATCTATTCTTAATAATTGATTCTTAAGTAATTGTTTTTTGTATATGTCAAGTTTTCTGAACATATAATCATGGATTTTAGACTCAAAATAAATGTATTATTATTATTATTATTATTATTATTATTATTATTATTATTATTATTATTGTTGTGACAGAATTAGCTGTTGCCATAGTAACACAGGGGTTTTTAAATGATAATTTCTGAGACCTTTAAATTGTCATGTATTTCAAAAATATGAACTCGGTGTATTGTAAACTTAAAAAAATTGACTTGGGCCTCAGCAATTAATGAAATTATTTGAAAAAATATCATAGTTAAATTGCCAAAATGGTAGCCAATCCAAGATAGTGACAGATTTGTGTTAAATTTACTTCTTATTACTGAAAGTAGCTTTTTGCAAACTTAGCATTAGAATTGAAAACTGTTAGGATGTTGATAGGATCTGAATCACATAATTACTGTGTAGAGTGACCGTTACTCCAAAACCCTCTTTTTTAAGTGTAAAAACCTGAAACCCAAGGTGGCCATCACAAAATACGGTTTATGCATATTGTTGTGCTGACTGAATAAATGTTACATTTTCCTTTCAAAATACCTCTTACACTTTGTGATGAACATAACTAACCTATTATCTAAATATAAATCATTTCTATTCATTAAGATTTCACTGGGAATTTCAAGTCCAAGTCTTCGGTTATTGTTGACCATTTCATCTATCTTTTATAATCATTTTACATGGCCACACATCTAGAAGGGATGAGTCTTCGGTTATTGTTGACCATTTCATCTTTCTTTTTTAATCATTTTACATGGCCACACATCTAGAAGGGATGAGCAGTATTATGAAAATAAATTCTCATCCAAACTTTAGATGAAATGAGGCATATAGCTCTAACTTTTCAGTCCACTGGTTAAAAAGATGTTATTTCATGATCATTGGCGGCCATTTTGAAATTTGAAAGTCATACTTTCATCCAAATTAACTCAAGTAATTGAAAACGGTTCTATTTTCATATTCAATACATCAAAAGTAATGAAGATTTTAATATGGGATGATGAATCTGTCATATTTCCAGACAGGACAGCTATATGTAAAAGACATGTTTTGTGGCAGCCATATTGGATTTCAGGATTTGTCATCTCAATATAAAGACTGCACCTTGAACAAGCACTATTAGGCAGAAAGTAGAGACTCTAGGCTACACTGGTGCATCAAAATATCTCTGATATTCTAATTCTTTAATGATGAAATAAAAATTATCATTTCTAGTGCATTTCTTGGACTACACGTCTAGAATGATTTTAAATTCCATTTAGTCAATGCATTTGAAATATATTAGATTTTGTTGGTCTCGGAACTGTTAGTTTTTACCACGTTTGCTACCATGACAACGGCTGTACGACACGCCCCCACCACCTGTTTAATGGCAAACAAACAGAATATAAAAGCTAAGGACATAAGCTATCAGAAAAAACATAGTGAACGAAAATCACTAGGGGGGGGGGGGGGTATTTGGCCCATGGACAATAAGGTCCTTATTCAAGCAATAATAAGTCTGCATTATTTACGAGGAATTCAACTGGAAATTATTTCATTAGATAATTACAAAATATATAAACACGGTCTGATACGTTTATCATTAAAAATTTAATTATGCATTGTTTGTTGAGCATTTTGAAGAGAATTATAAACGTGAAAAACACTGTCCATGAACAGGTCTTTAAATAATAATAAATTTGTTCCATAGAAAGTGGCAAGCAAAATAAATAAATAAATAAATAATATGCAAAAATTAGGATTTAGGGTAACAAACGAAGAGACGCGATACAAAAAAAAAACAAGTCAAGCAAGTGTCTGTGGTCCTGAATCTTTCTACTTTTATTTCAGATATGTCGATTAACATGTCAAGTGTAGTTCACAAGTACTGTCAAAAAGCGAAATGTGTGAAACCAAGGAGTTCCAACAACGGCCTCATGAAAGTTGTCCTCGATACAAAACAGCTGTCCATTAAGAAAAGATCGAATCAGAACCTTTTTTATCATTTTGCTCATTTTTTTGGTTCCTCCACCAAAATAAGAGATATATCAGAGTAAGAAATAATAATAAGTTAATGTGGCTTCAAGTTGAGGTATTGAGGTATAGAATATACTATAACATAAGGTAGTGATCGTACACTACGAAGGCAATTAAAGTGGGACACGTGTATCATAAAATATATTTTTGGTTTTTAAAGTGATTTCATTATGGAGACACTGTGTACAATGAATTGAATCCAAATACCAAATTTTGGAATTTGTAATTCTCAGCGACAGCAACCTTAGTGCTCCACTGAAAAATCTGAATGCTAAATAGAAAGGACTGTGGGGAAAAAAGACAGAAACCCGATCCGTGAAATTTGGCATGGCAGGGAGATAAAAAAAAAGTTATTCTAAATGAATAATATTGACAGGCAATTGCACCAATATCTACTTTTTGTTATTGGGGATACTGGTTGGTCTCTGATTATAATCCAGTGTCCTACACCAGATCGTTTGGAATAACCTGAACTTTATTGAGTTGCTTGTCAACAAAGTCAAACTGATTGTATTGGGAAGTTCCTCCGTGTATGATCAAATCGGAATTGACGCCTGGCACTTCTTGGTTATATGGGGACGCGTGAACATATTTACCCCCAGAATGTTTGATCCGGCCTTCTCCTTCTTCGATTGCAAACAATGCAGCATTATCGCATTTTGAGTGTGGGAAAATCCCTGTATTATCCGCTGGTTCAGCCGAGCTACCGAGGGGAGTCAAACAATGTCCGTCAGAGCCTTCGACCTTCAGATAGCCCAATTGCCCTTCCTCCTGATACCAGCGCAGTAATGTCGACTTGCTGCAATCGTCTGCACGGAATTTTTCATACTGCATGCCCCAGGCCCACCATGTAGCATAGGCGTAACATTGGCCGCTAGATCTGTGCCTCAGAAGGAACGGAGGGCTGATGTATCCCCCTGCAAACCAAAGCAACAGTCAGTCATTCATTGATTGGACGAATAATTATCATACAAACCATTCGTTCGACAAATCGGTTAATCAATCACTCAATCGAGCTGTTTCACCATCAAATCATCAATCAAATAATAAAGTTATTGCAAATTTAATAATTTAATTACATAGTCAACCAGACAACAAATGAAACGATTGAATAAACCATCGGTCAATCGCGAAAAAACATGACCTGAAAAACTAATCAACCATGAGATCACGAAATCCACCCTTCAGTTAGACCCCATTCCCAGAGATTAGATCGATCCAACTAGATCGACCTAACTCCCTGGGGGTTCACGTTGAATAGCTGTCAGCTGAGCGGACACGGAAGTTAATTACCCCTTTACAGCTTGTAGTAGGCGGGACGAACATTTAAGCCAGATTATCTGACAGTATTATAGTGAGACTCCCCACGGGGATAGATCGATCTAAAATCTATGGGAATGCACTCTTAGATTACCAAACTAGCATCGTTACATGTGTCAACCTGAAATCGATCAATCAATCGATGAAACAACGTTTAGAAGCAAAACCGTCATCGATTTATATAAGTTGAAGCAGCTTACTCAGTATATTACCCTTTTTGCGAGGAAAATAAAGGGGGTCTGTTTCGAACTCCTAATTACCTTATTTCATCGGGAAGAAAAAGAGTTAAAACGCTAGCTTTTACCTTGACTGTGTTTTGCTTTAGTGGGTCTAAAGAACAATACCTAAATATTATCATTGACCTATTCAACTCGGCATGCGACTGATTGGAGAACAAATTTTGCACTCTGACCTCCTTCGAATTTGGACCATTACAATTTCCATGAAATTAAAATATGTGATAATCAACATCAAATTTAGTAGCGGTTCCTCACTAAATAATGCCTCGTACCAAACCTTTATTTTAATAAACGGCTATGGGTTTATCCTAAACTGGAGTGCACTAAAAAATTCATCTTAAGATCAAATTTTAGGCTTTTTAGGGGGGGGGGGCAGCTGTAGCAAAAAAAAAACTTTAATTGAAGTTGCTAAAAGCAAGCAGTTCGAACAAAGGAGATTACACACTTTGGGGTGGAGCGCGTTTGCCGGTCTTTCATTGGTCGAAATGAATAGAGACCGGAGAACAATGGGCGACCATCTCTGTTACGGTCTCTGTTTAAATCTCGTTTCCTGGGAAACGTTCCTACACTAGGTAAGGTCTAGCGTTCTAAGAGGTTTCAAATGGAAATGCAGTAAAAGGTTCTTGAAACCCCTTGGTAAGAGCAAGATCGGCCTGCGAAGCATCTTGGAACTTACCTTCGGCAACCGCCAGG